GTAAGTCAGATCTAACTTCCTTTTGTTTTAATGAGGATCTGTAGACCTCTAGAAGGAGCCTACATTTATGTTACTAGCCCAGGGAGAGTGCCAACCACAATGGGGTGGGCCCTCACCCTATCAATCACTAATTTAGAAAATGCCCCCATAGGCTTGTCTCCAGCTAGATTTTATAGAGGCATTTTCTCAATCCAGGTTTCCTCCTCTCAGATGACTCTAGCTTGTGTCAAGTCGTCATAAAACTATCCAATACACTTAATCTTTCTAAATAATCCCTTGATCTTCTAGTGTTGGATGAACTTTATGTCTTGAGTCATTGAGGTTGTCACATATATGGAATCTTGCAAATATCTAGCTGCAAGAACAGGCAAAGTTTGATGGACAGAGGGTGCATGGGACTAAAATTCCTTCTCAGCTATAGTTCATCAGAAGCCACTTTGCACAAATTTTGCAGGGTCTGTCCTTGACATCTTCTGAATTTGGCTCAACAAACTTTAATGTTGAGACACCTCAACTCTAATAGCTCATCTTCCTTGTCCAAACCAAATCTTTTCTCAGGCAGAATCAAATGTGAACCACACATAGCCCATTTAAAATGCTTAAAATTACCAGTTACAGAAGATGCTGCGTATACTCACATTCTTACGTCTTGATACTTTGAGTTGGAAAGCTTTGTCCCTCTGGAAAACTTTGAGATATCAGAAAGCAGGTGGGCTCAAATCTTTTTGTAGATTCCTGAGATAAGACCTTGTAGGCAACCACCTGCTCATCAAATCTGGCATACTTTTCTACTAAACAAAGGCCATGTCCTGAGAGAGCAATTGCCTAATTTTCTGTGAATAGCAGTACAAGACACATAGATATGGTCAGTTGCAGAGATTTTTTTTTTTTAGGCCATTTCTCACTTTGCTTTGTAAGTGGTCACAAGCAATCTTCTCACCTCATCCTCCTGAGTAGCTGGGACTGTAGGTACAGAATATCAAGCCTGGCTATTAGGAAGTATTTTATATGCCTTATGTGTATCCAAACATATATTTATTGAACCCTAACACACGTGTTACTCAAAACAAAATTTGAGTGCCTACCTGTGAAGTGGGAGAAGTGAAGGAAGTGAAAGGAAATAACCCTAATTGGTTGGCCTGATCCTCAGACCACCTACCTCATTCCACCATCTTAGCTGATTTGAAGATTGTTTATTCTTTAGTTATTTATATGCCTAAACAGTGCATGGTTGGCAAGGAAGGAAAGAAGGAAGGAAGGAAGGAAGGAAGGAAGGAAGGAAGGAAGGAAGGAA